AGAGCGCAGGGCCGGAGCCTCCTGCCAGGTCCGTGCCGAGGCTGGCGTGGGGCCCAGCTCCTTCCACCCCGCACCTGCCCCGCCGTCTGCTGTCCTCAGCTGAATGTATGAAATCCGACCCTTTTCCCCAGTCCCTAAAAATCGGCTCAAATACACACCCCTTTTCTTCTGTTTTCTGTCAAAGTTGTCCGGAGTCGCTTGTGTCAAACCTTAACCAACAACCATAATAAAACCTGTAGGCCATGAAGCAGGAGACCACGTACCAGTACCTGAGGAGAAGAACGGCAAAAGTCTCTCCCGTAACCACATCCTTGCTCAGAAAATTTCTGCAGTTTGTGCTGTAACTTGCACCATCCAGCCCTGGACTCCTGCCACCCTCGTTAACCGATACTGGTAGCCAAAGATTACTGCTTCACAACAATTTATGTAATCTTACTCGTTTTCTCTTTAAAAACTTCCCCAAGGCCTCAACTTCCTTAAATCCCCTCAGAGTTTACTGTGTAGTGCACTTAATCCCATCGCAATGCTTTGCTACCTTGTTCTTTTAGGAGACTGTTTCTCTGTGTTGTTTTCTCAGAAAACAGCATCCAGACCTTGATAAACACTAGATGTCAGTGCTTGTGTTTTGTTTGTTGGTTGGTTTGCTTTGGGAGCGGGGGTTGGTACTGGGGTTCAAACTCAGGACTTTGCACTTTCGAGACCGGCACAGTGCCACTCAGCTAAACTCCGGACCTGTGTCCGTGCCTGTTTTTAAAAACTGTATCCTACCGGGGATTTAGCTCAGTGGCACAGAGTCCTGAGTTCGATCCCGACACTAAACAAATAATAAATAGGTATATCCTTAACCCAAATACAATAATGTAAATGAGATTTAGTGTGTTAGCTTAGAATCTCTGTGGAGAAAAGGGAACGTGGAATATTTTCATTCAGTTGGAGCCAGCTCCTCAACGTTTTCCACTTCAGATGTTGCTAGATTTAGTCTTTTCCTTGGATTTTTTTTTTTTTCTTGTACCTTGTACCGGGGATCAAACTTGGGACCTTGCGCTTGTGAGGCAGGCAGCAACACCACTGAGCTAAATCCCCCGCCCTGCCTTTGATTTTTACTACTACAATTTTAATCTAAACGGAGGGATTTTATTATATGTTAGTTATTAAACTAGATTTTACTTCAGTAAGTTAACAAAATAGCAATTGTTCCTAAAAGGAGGTTGCGGACAATTCCACAAGTTTTCACAGTTGACAGTTGAGCTTGCAAGGCAGGTGCAGTGCCACTGAGCTAAATTCCCAGCCCTGAGTTTTACCTATTTTATCTTCTAGCAGGTTAAGTGTTTCTTTTTTAGTATTTAGATCTTTGATCTCTTTTGACTTTAGTTTAGCACAAGGTAAGAGATATGGTTCTAGATTCAGTTTTCTGCATGTGGAAACCATTCCTGCACACTTTGTTAGGGGCTGTCTTTCCTCTAGCTTAAGTTTTTGCCCCCCTTGTCAAAGATCAGGTAGCAAAACGTGCCTAGAGTTATTTCTTCATACGCTATTCTGTTCCATTGATCCACATGTCTTTTTTGTTGTTGTTTTTTGTTTTGTTTTGTTTTTGTTTTTTGCCAATACTATTGTAGAGAGCTAAGTTATTTAGATATATTGTAGGCAGTTAGGGCCCTGACCAGTCTATGAAAGATAATGGAGACACATTCACTTAAAATGAGCATTATAAAAAGAAAAAGTGCTACACTTACCTACTTCCCCTAGAGATGAATAGCAGTGACATTCTAAATAGGCATCAGTCACTTTAAGTGGGGACCAAAAAAAAAAAAACCTTCCTAGCCCACTTCCTTTCTGGAAATTCCTTGTTTATTCTATGTATACTTGCTGAGTGACTTCTTTTCCCATTTGATTGCCATTTAATCAGTATTACTTGGACACACATGTGTAAATACCAAATCGTTTCTCTGGTGTGAGAAACTGAAAGTGTAAATAAAGATCAAAATGTATAATGGATAATTTGAAATAGGAAGAAAAAGTTCAAAGGGAAAGGGGAAGCAATAGGGGTAGGGAAAGGAAAAGAATAAATATGAGAAAAGGAAAAAATGGAAGCGGTCTTTGTAAATAGGGAACAGTGGAGGGGTTGAAGGGAGGGCAGGGGAATGGGAAAAAAGTAAGAACCAAGATATGTCATGTAAAGGTACAAATTCCCAATGATGAATATCATCATATTGTATACCTAAAATGTACCAATAAATTTAATGAATTAAAAAAAATTGCCTGGGTGACTGTACTTATAATCTTATTGTTTGATTATAGTTTTGTCCTACCTTATGCTCATCTTGTGAGTTCTCACTGGAACTTATTAGTTGATTATAGTTTTGTCCCATTTTTGTACCTGCCTCACCTCCTGGCTTTGCTCAATAAAAACCCCCTGGAAAATGGGGCCCCAGGCAACCCATTTCCAAGGGTCCTCTCCTGTCCCACTCAGGTAGGAACTGTCTTTCCCTCAATAAATATTCCTTACTCTTAACCTCCATTACTTCTAGAAAGCATTCTTTGGTTTTTAGAGAACATGAACTCCTGTTTTAGATATCTAGCAGATTAGGACTTACATTTCCCTTGCTTGGATTATTTTTGCTTATTTGGGTTATTTGGTGCCTTATGTCAATGCCATGCTGTTTTCATCACTGTAGTGTAATTTGAAGTTTGGTGTCCAGGATTGTGATGGCTCCTGCCTTGCTTTTTTTGCCCAGGGTTGCTTTTGCTCTTCTAGCTCTCTTCTGGTTCCATATGAATTTTAGGATTGTTTTATCTTCTGTGAGGAATGCTATTGGTTTTTTGGTTAGGATTGCATTAAATCTGTGTATCAGTTTTGGAAGTATGGCCATTTTGACCATATTGGTTCTGCCTATTCAGGAACAAAGTATATCTCCATTTTCTGATATCCTCTTCCATCTCCTTTGTCAGAGTATTGTAGTTTTCCTTGTATAGGTCTTTCATGCCCTATATTAATTAGGAACTAGGTTAATTCCTAAGTATTTAATTTTTCTTGATGCTTTGCGAAAAATACTGTTTTCTTCTGATTCTCAAACTTCTTTTTAAAAATGTCCACTTCAAAATTACTGAGAGTAGATCTTAAATGCTCTCACTGCACACTGCACATATACAGAGATAACCATCAGTAATATAAATTATTATTATGCAATAATACAGGTTAATTATATCAAAAATTGTTCACAATGGGTACATATTTCAAACCTCACATTATATACTTTAAATATAATTTTTGTCAATTATATGTCAATCTGGAAACATTCTTAAATAAAATATAGCAGTCAGATTTTAACACTATCAATAACAAATAAAATGCCTTGTCTACTCAGTCTCTTATATTTTATACTTTTCAACCTTTTATACTTAGATTATTCTAGGACTTAACTGCATCTAGTGTGACATGTAGAGCTAACTTGGTCTCCTTTCAAATGGGTGAGCCATGATACCAGTTTTAATAATGCTTTTCCTACTGAGCTGAAATGCGAATTTCCTCACAGTGACATCCTAGTATTCATTATATATTGCACTTATTTTTGAACTCTAATCTTGTTGTATTGACCAGTTTGCTTTTTTTTTTTTTTTGGTACCGGGGATTGAACTAGGGTCCTTGTGCTTGCTAGGCAGGCCACCGAACCGCTGAGCTAAATCCCTGGCAGGAATTTCCTGTTTTCATAGAAACACGACAGTGTATATCATCAAAATGACATTATTTTAAATATAATCCTTTTATGCACTTAGAAAACATGGCACTTAATTCTACTTAAATTCAATAGAATTAAAAGTTCTAAAGTAAGACATGAAAATTTACTTATTCTTTATAAATCACTCCTTACCACAAATGGGTCATTTCTAGAATCATCTCACTATGGTTAAAAAAGAAGACAAATGAAAATAAGCAGTTTTAGTCATCTTTTAACAATAAGTTAATTTTACCATGAAACATAAATTATCTCTCACTCCATTTTCCCTTACCTCTCAAGTTTGATAGTTTAATCAGTTTGAGATTGTCAAGCTTTAAAACTTTACCTCATTTCTTGTGACCATAACGCTACTTTGTTTATTCTTGGTTCAGCGTTTACAAGGATTCTGTGTTCACTCCCAGGGCCCTTTACCTCACCATTTGTAATTTCTTTACTGGCTTCAACAAGTGAAGCAATTCACATGCTGAATTTATCACTTCTCTCAAGTTCCAAGATGTTGATCTGCTCTGATTACTACATTGGAATTAATCAGTTATGGGCACGTTTTTCCTTGGTCCTACTTCCTCTCCCCCAAGACTTGGTATATTTAACTCCCCTGTGTTTTGGCATTCAACGTTGCTTTAGAGAATGCTGCGAATAGGCAGGTCCCCTGCCCTCTACAACTTTGGACGATTTGTTGTTTTAGTCAATTGCCATAACAAAATACCTAAGGCTGGAAACTTTATAAAAGTTTCTTTTGTTCACACTTTTGGAGGCTGGAAATCCAGGATTGGCTGGCCCTGTTGGTTTGCCTATGGTGAGGGCCTAATGGCAAATGGCATCACAGTGGTATGAACATGTACATACATTATCATATGGATCTGTGTGATCTTATATGTAAATGGAGGCTGGAGCTAGAGAGAAATCTGGAGCCAGACTGCTCTTTTTATAAAATCTCGCCATCCCAAGAACTGACCAAGTCCTAGGAGAACTAAAGAATCTCTAACAAGGGCAGTGCCCCCAGTGACCTAACTACTTCTCCCTACTCACCACCACTGCCACCACTTGCACACAAAGGCTCTGCACTGTAGTATCACTGCACTTGGGTCCAGTGTTCTAGCACATAAAACTGTGAAACACATACAAACTATAGTGAAATCATAGCACTTGCTTTTCCTCCTGGATGCCTGAAGGATTCTTTCTTTAACTCTGAAATGTAAAATTGGCAATACCAGGCATGATGACACATGTATGTAATCCTAGCCCTCGAGAGGCTAAGTCAGGAGGATCAATGTGAGTTTGAGTCCAGTGGGGCTTCATAGTGAGTTCAAGGCCAGCCTGAATTAAATAGCAAGACCCTATCTCAAAAACAAATAAAAAAACTTGGCAAAATATATATATTGATATAGGTCAAACTTTATTTTGACAAACACAATATTCTCTTTTTTTAAACACAATGTTCTCTTTAATTGGAAAATTTAGATCTTTCATTCAAGGACCTTTTACTTGTATTACTTTAAATACTTTTCCATTTCTTAGGTTGTTCAAGGATGCAAATGATCCTTTTCTTTCCCCTTCTGTATCACCATCTGCAGGGCCTACTGTCCCCTCTAAGCCTAACCCTCTATAGCTTGTGAGCATGTATAGCTGGGCTGGCAGGTTCAGGATTTGGGTTCTGTCCTCCTGGTTGGAGAAGATGAGGGTGCTTCCCTGCAGGCACTTTGGAGCCTCCAGCAACCCCCAGTTAGCATAGGTCTTGGAGTTCTCTGTCTCTGATGGAGTCCTGCCCCATTGCCAGTGTGTGGTGTGTCCCTTTACCCTCACCCCAAGGGCAGTCATTTCCATGACCCATGGTCAGAAATAGGAAGAGTTAAGGATTGGT